AACCAAATACACAAAATCAGAAATGAAAGAGGAGAAGTAACAATTGACACCACAGAAATACAAAGGATCATCAAAACATACTATGAACAATTATACAACAACAAATTGGACAATCTAGGAGAAATGGACAGATTTCTAGAAACACACAGCTTCCCAAAACTGAACCAGGAAGAGATAGAAAACTTGAACAGACCAATAACAATTGAGGAAACTGAAGATGTAATTAAGAAACTCCCAGCAAACAAAAGCCAAGGCCCAGATGGCTTCACAGGAGTTTTACCGAATATTCAAAGAAGATCTAATATCCATTCTCCTCAAACTATTCCAAAAAATCCAAGAACACTTCCAAACTCAATTTATGAGGCCAGCATAATCCTAATTCCAAAACCAGATAAAGACACTACAGAGAAAGAAAACTACAGGCCAATATCCCTGATGAACACAATGCCAAAATCCTTAACAAAATATTAGCAAATTGGATCCAGCAATACATCAAAAAAATTATTCATCATGACCAAGTGGATTTCATCCCAGACATGCAAGAATGGTACAATATTCGCAAGTCAATAAATGTGATACATCACATAAACAAAAAGAAAGATAAAAACCATATGATCATATCAATAGATGCTGAAAAAGCATTTGACAAAATCCAGCACCCATTTCTGATAAAACGCTCTGCAAGGTGGGAATAGAGGGCTCATATCTCAACATAATAAAGATTATATATAAAAAACCTATAGCCAACATCATACTCAAATGGGCAAAAACTAAAAGCATTCCCCTTAAGAATGGGAACAAGACAGGGATGCCCACTTTTGCCACTCTTATTTAACATAGTACTGGAAGTCTTAGCCACAGCAATTAGATATCAAGAAAAAATAACGGGGATTCAAACTGGAAAGGAGGAAGTGAAACTGTCATTATTTGCAGATGACATGATATTGTATATAGAAAACTCTAAAGCCTCCATCAAAAATCGCCCTGGCAGGTTTGGCTCCATGGTTAGAGCGTCAGCCTGTGGTCCAGAGAGACCCAGGTTCGGTTCCCACTAAGGGCACATATCTCAGTTGCAGTTTGTCCCCAGCCCTGGTTGGGTCGTGCGGGTGGCAACCACTCAGTATATCCCTTTCACGTTGATGTTTCTCTCTTTCTCTCTTCCTCTCTCTCCCTTCCACTCTATCTGAACAAAAAGAAAAAGAAAAAATGTCCTCAGGTGAGGATAAAAACAAAAAAGACTCCATCAAAAATCTACTAGACTCAGTAAATGAATCTGGCAAAGTAGCAGGACACAAAATTAACATTAAGAAATTGACGGCATTCTTATACACCAATGATGAAATCACAGAAAGAGAAACTAAAAAAACAATCCCATTTACCATCACAGCAAAAAAATTAAGATACCTAGGAATAAACTTAACCAAAGAAATAAAGGACCTCTTCACAGAAATCTACAGGTCATTGAAAAAAATAGAGGAAGATATAAAAAAGTGGAAGCATATACCTTGTTCATGGATTAGAAAAATTAATATAATTAAAATGTCCATACTACCCAAAGCAATCTATAGATTCAATGCAATCCCCATCAAAATACCAATGACATATTTCACAGAACTAGAACAAACGCTGCAAAAGTTTTATGGAATCAAAAAAGATCTGGAATAGCCACAGCAATCTTGAAGAAGAACAAAGTAGGAGGAATTATCAGATTTTAGGTTATACTACAAAGCCACTGTAATCAAAACAGGTTGGCACTGGCACAAGAACAGGCAAATAGACCAAAAGAACATAATAGAGAACCCAGAAATTGACTCGAGACAATATGCTCAATTAATATTTGACAAAGGTGGCAAGAGCATACAGTGGAGTCAAGACAGTCTCTTCAATAAATGGTGTTGGCAAAATTGGACAGCTACTTGCAAAAAAAATGAAGCTGGACCACCAACTTACACCATATATGAGAATAAACACAAAATGGATAAAAGACTTAAATGTAACTCATGAATCCATAAAAATTCTAGAAGAAAATGCCGACAACAAAATTTCAGACATCATACGCAGCAGCATTTTCACTGATACAACACCTAAGGCAACAGAAACAAAAGAAAAAATGAACACCAGGGACTACATAAAACTAAAAAGCTCTGCACAGCAAAAAAAAAAAAAACAACCATCAAAACGAAAAGGGATCCCATTATATGGGAGACCACAATTGCCAATGATGCATCAGATAGGGGATTAATTTCTATAGAGTGCTCATACAACTCAACAAAAGGAAGACAAAGAACCCAATAAAAAAAATGGGCAAAGGACCTAAATAGACACCTCTCCAAACAGAACATACAAATGGCCAAGAGACATATGAAGAAATGCTCAACGTCACTAATCATTAGAGAGATGCAAATTAAAACAACTATGAGGTATCACCTCATACCTGTCAGAATGGCCGCCATCAACAAATCATCAAACAAGTGTTGGTGAGGGTGTGGAGAAAAGGGGACTCTAGTGCACTGCTGGTGGGAATGTAGACTGGTGCAGCCACTGTGGAAAACACTATGGTATTACCTCAAAAAGTTAAAAATTGAACTTCCATTTGACCCAGTGATCCCACTTCTAGGAATATACCCTTAAGAGACCTGAAACACCAATCATAAATAATATATGTACCCCTATGTTCATAGCAGCACTATTTACAATTGCGAAGATCTGGAAACAACCCAAGTGCTCATCAGTAGATGAGTAGATAAAAAAGCTGTGGTACATGTACACAATGGAATACTATACAGTTGTAAGAAAGATAGATCTCTTATCCTTTGAGATGTCATGGAAGGACCTGGAGAGTATTATGCTAAGCGAAGCAAGCCAATCAGAGAAAGACAAATATCACATGATCTCACTTATTTGTGGAATATAATGAACTAAACAAACTGATGAACAAAATTGACCCAGAAACATAGAGGTAGGGTACAGACTGATAAGCCTCAAAGGAGGGGGGGGTTGAGGGGGAAGAGATAAACCACAGAACTTATATGCATGTATTCATGACCAATGGACATGAACAACAAAGCTGAAGATGGGGGAGGGATAGGGAGGAGGGTATCAATGGGGGAAAAAGGAGAAACATCTGTAACAAAAACAAATTAATAAAAAAATTAAAAAAAAAAAAAGTCAAATGGCAGCAATAAAAGTTCAATGCCAAAGACGCCAAGCCATAGTTTTCTTATCTAACAAATTGGAGAAACAAGTCCATACTATCTCACAGCCCTGGTAACAGGAGTCAGTGAAATAATTAAACACATGCGAAAGCATCCTGTAATCTGCAAATCACTATATTCTATTAGGCATAATTTTTATTAAACACAAAAAACAGAGGTGTGGAAAATCAACCAGACAGAACACATTTTCAACACAATTGCCTATTACCTAATGGAAACTAGATATAACTATACATCTAAGACCAAGTAAAAATTATTCCCCAAGGATATTTTTATCAGCCTTTAAGGCTCCTGTTGGAGGAAATTCCCTCAGAATTTAACACATACTTGTGGGAACTTCATGTCAAGGCCCAAATGTAGACTTATCAAATAGAAACATCACCTCCTTCCAGCCATGTACTAGGCAGTGGTAGCAAATGCCAGTTCAAATACTACCCTTCAAGACAGCATCCTTCATCTCAGGTCTGAATGGATCAAGCCAGCCCCTATATGTTCTCACAGCGCATTTGCTACTTTGTTGGCATTTCATCCTGATTGGCATCAAAAATCACTAGTTGCTTCCAAGCCTGACTTACTACTACTTTTTTTTTTTTTAAGTGTCTTTTTTAAAAAAAATCCTCACTCAAGGACATTTTCCCATATTTTGGTCAGATAGAGTGGGAGGGAGAGAGAGAGAAACATCGACGTAAAAGGGACACATGAGTGGCTGCCACCCACACGACCCAACCAGGGCCGGGGACAAACTGCAACTGAGGTACATGCCCTTAGCGGGAATCGAACCCGGGTCTCTCTGGACCGAAGGCCGATGCTCTAACCGCTGAGCCAAACCGGCCAGGGCTTCCTACTACTTCTTGAACTCAGTAAATTCACACAGAACCCCAAACCCTAAAGCAGCTGATCCTATGGCCTAGCACTCAAATATTTGCTCTATGCAGTTTGTATTTCTCCATTCTGAGCCTGAAAACTGTTTAGGGTGGGAAAAAAATTGTTCACAGTATCTTCTCCCTTCTGGATCTGCACGGTGAAAAAAAAAAAAAAAAAAAAGGTCTTTTGCAAACAGAATGAGAGGCAGGAACGGAAAGGAAAGAGAGCATCAGAACATTCAAAACTCCGTACGGAATTCAGAACTTCCTGCATCGTGTTTCGGAAACACGCTGGGCGCCCCCTGCATCACAAGCGAAGGGGATTCTACCGCCCGAGCCGGTTCTTGGAATCCCAGACCGCCGCGCTCATTCTAACCACCCTCGGGGGCACGTGCTCTTCACTTCTCAGATGCTGAACGCGAGCAAAGGGCACTCAGGCCGGCAAAGCAGAAAGGACTCCCCTACCAGCACTGCAGGCCCAAGAACAAGACCCTCGAGCTGTGCAGGGGGCGCTTCGGTGAGGTCTCCAGGAAACGTGCTTTCAGGGACTTCACTACGCGCCACACGGGGCTGCACGGGGCGCGAGGCGCTGCCGCGACCCGCCCGGACCCAGCCTCCTTCGACGCCGGCACGGGCCTGGCGAGGCCGCCGGCGGGGGCAGCGCCGCTCGCCGCCCGCCCTGCCGACCCCAGGCCGCTGTCATCCTCTCCGACAGGCACACGCGTGAGCCCGTTCATCCCGCGCGCTGCCTCGGCGCCCCAGGACGCGGCCTCCCGTCGCCCGGGGAGAACACGGGGTAGCGTCCTCACCGCTCTGGGCGCCTCACGCCCCGTCGCCGCCACACACGGAGACCGCACTGGGCTCCGGCGAGCGACTTCAAACCCGATCCCGTCTCGTAGCTGTGCCCGGAATCATTCATTACCTTCCCCAAGCAAATGTGGCACGTGATGGGCAGAGTGAGGGACAATGTAACGTTCTGCACGGTCTGAGCCATGGCAGCGTTCAGAATCCCGCCAACACGGAAGTCCCGCCGACCGCGGAGCCGGCGGCGACTGGGGCAGCGCGAGGCCGGCTACGGCAGCCCGGCAGGGCCACGGCCCGCCGCCGGAGGAAGCGAAACGCGCTTTTGAAACGCGCGGTCGCCAAGGCTTTCCCCTGCCTTCCCTCCTTCCTTTCATTATAAGTAAACTAGAGTAAAAACTCTCCCCTGTTCAGGAGCTGCAAGATTTCTGAGAATGGAAGGGAAGGCGGTTTACTACAGGTATCGAGGATCTTGAAAGTTTAAGTGGAAGAGTAATCGTGGTGAGAGGAGAGGAAATGAGTAAGGGCGATTTTAAGTCCTCGAATCTTTCCAGGTGGGTGGGTGGGGACAGAGTGTTCCCTCTGAGGGTAGCACCCAACCCTGCCTGCAAACACACGGTGCAGTCAGAACAGGGAGAGAAAAGATGATCTTTACGTTTTGATTTTTCCAACAACTTTTTGCCACTCAGCTGCCTTTGTGTTCGTAAATGATGTGATGTCACCAAAAAAAACCAACAACTGTCTCTTCATCTGTTTCTGAGACGTCGTGGATAGTCTAGTCGAGCTTTCCCTAAAGACAGGCTGTCTCTCTGGCCCTCTGGGGTTTCTATCTCAAGAGAGGCTTAGGGGTCTGGAGTCACAGACTGATTTACATCCACAGGTGAGAAGGCTGCAAGGTGTGAGCTGTGCACGCTCCCCCAAAGCACTTGAATTTGAAGCGTTTAAAGACTTCATTTCAGGTGCACAGTTGAACATGAAATGTGCCCCTGTGCTATTAAACTGATGCGTGAGGTTATAAGTTCCCACACTTCCTTCCAATGAACAAGAAAAACGATGAAAGTTCCTAAATGAATCTTGAATATAACAGATTTGGAATTGAACCGAAACTTTAAGTGAGGAAGAGTCAATGGGATCAATTTATGCAAACAAATACTATCTATGAGTAGGGTGATTTAGAAACAAAACCAATGGAATTACTTTAATATTTCTGGGAAAGCTGCAGTATATAGGTCACACACAAGAAGCAGTGTCGTGGTTTTTAAGAAACTTTTTTAACCTCACCTGACATTTTTCCATTTTTTGTTCAGATAGAGTGGGAGGGAGAGAGGGGAAGAGAGGGGAAGAGAGAGAGAGAGAGAAACGACTTGAAAGGGACACATCAAGTGGCTGCCTCCCACACAACGCACCCAGGGCCAGGGACAAACTGCAGCCAAGGTACCAGCCCTTTGCAGAAAGGAACCCGGTCTCTCTGGACCGCAGGCTAATGCTCCAACCGCTGAGCCAAACTGGCCAGGGCCCTCGTGGTTTTTTTTTCTTTTTTTTCTTTTAAGAGGTTCTGGGTCTGGACTGTGAGGGTAGAAATCCTTGCAGGAACACTTTCCTGGCTCTACTGGTTTCAGACAATTTATTTAACCTCTGCTTCTTAGCTTCCTCCTTGGTAAAGTGTGTGTGTGTGTATTAGTAAAATGATGTCAATGTATCTTGCTATCAGGTCTATAAAAGGAACAGACAATAATGAGGTTGGAGCAGCTAGTAGTTCACTTGAAGAAGCCTAAGTCCAGTGCAGAATAGGCTCACAGGTGACAGTGAGCATTCTTTCAAACAACCCAGTAACCTCATTTTCTAGGGATTGGAGATTAACATGTGCTTGGAACTGGAGAAATGGGCAAAATAGTCATATTGATTGCCTGTTTAATGGCCACTTTTTCAGAGTGCCTGGCACAAAGTCATCTAGTTTGGCTATCTCCTGGCTGTTTGCAGTCCTATTCATATGGGGACTAGAATTCATATGTTTGCTAGTACATCTTTCACATTCCTGGCTGGAGACCTTGGACTTCAAAATGAGAAAGCTCCAGATCATTCAAGTTTCATACCCACTGTCATTCAAGTTTCCCATCTTCTCCATCTTTCTGTGTTCCTCTCCCCACATTACTGTGTTTTTCCATGTTATCATCTTGCCCATTCCCTATTCTCAACTTTCTGGTACCTAAGGTTACAGTATTTTAGGCCTGTCATTCCCATCCTCTGAGTGGGATGTAGGACTGAGAAAGTTCTGCCTCTGGCATCCATCCCTGGAAACAGTGCAGCAGAAAGATGTGTTGAACACAATCTTTAAAAAAAGACTTTTTCATTGCTGCTGGGACAAGTTCATTTCTTGGTAATCATCCTGATGATTGATGTTAACACTCAGTCACAAGGATAAATGTTAAAAATCGTAACATACATTTTAAGTAGAATGTTAGAATCTAGAATATTTCTAACATCTTTTTCCACATTTACTAGCATTGTTATAGCTTCTCACTGCTGTTTTAGTGCTCTGTCCTTATATCTATTTCTGTGTTGATCACATAGTTATAGTTGCTTGTGTATGTGATTGTCCTCACAACAAACTGTTTCTTGAGGTCAGGGATTGTTACCTGATTTATCTAGTAACTGGTATTAAGTGACTATCCCACAAACCACATTTTCTTTAGCTACAAACTACCTTTTTTAAAAAAAAAATAGACCCAGGCTGTTTTAAATATTGTTTTTACTTGTTTTTCATTTCAGAATGGAAGACAGTATTGCTTTTTGCTAAATATAAAAATAATAAGGCTCATCTTTAAAAAAATTAAGCCATCTAAACATATATAAAATAATCAGAATCTCCTCTACACTCATGCCTCACCTCTCTATCCTGTGTGGTAGACATTTCTATGAATATTCTAGAGCATATCCTTACAAATATTTTAATTTATATACTACTGTGTGCATAAGCACAAATAGGATCATACCTCCTTTGTTTACTAATGCTTTGTGGATGAGTACATACACACACATACACATATATCTAAATAATATTGTTAGCGATAACAGCTGATTAGGACTCTCTGTAGGTCCAGATTGATTTCAGGCCAATTCCCAGGCTTTGCTTTTAATAATGCAGATGGTTTACAGCCAGAAACTATGTCTTTCCTCTGCTCTATGAAAGGAATTTCCTTTTTTTTTGACAAATAATATTGTAGTTATTATTTGACCAAATTGTTAAATAATATTGCTACTACTCTAATAGGAATACAGAGATTACATGGCTCATTGACTTTCTGCTTCATTTCTTTCTCAACTTCTTAGAGGCCTGAGGGGAGGGAGTTCTGTGACCTGAGTAGTTCTATCAGCATAGCACCTGGTATGGGCTAAAACCTCCTAAATCCTTAGAATCATAAACTTTTAGAACTAGAAAGGATCTTAGGGCTTTTTAATGTAGGCCTTTCATTTCACTGATGAGAAAATTGAGGCACAGATAAGGTAAACCACCAGATAATGGTAGAATTGGAACTAAATCCTAGATCTCACTTGGACAATCTGAGATTGTTGGCCCAATGCCTTTGTGTAAGTGCAAGATGTGTTTTTATTAATAAAGTAATTCAGTAATAAAAAGTCAGTCATAATTGAATTGCTTTCCTAAGAAAACCATCAAATAGCTATGGAACACCTTTTACCCCTTGTTTAAATCAGAATCATTTTTATAATAAATTATTTAAAAGCAAGTTTAAAAAAATATAAAATCTTAAGTGCTATTAAAAATTGATTAGGAATGCATTATTCTTTCATTGACCCAGTTCAGATTGTTTTTTAATTTTTTTGGTCAAAGCTAATAAATTTGAGTAGATGTTTCAGACAGACATTTTGTAATCATTTGGTCATCAGTCAATTAATCACAACTTCATAAATATTGATTTCAGATTACATTTATTTTTCATTCCTGAAAGACAATCTTTTTGTTTTGTTTTAAACTTATACAGTCCTCCCACCCCCACCCCCTGACTTAGATTGTGGTTAACACTGAGAAAACTCATAAAAGTTGGATTAAAAATTAATTAGAGGTTCTGGCCCAGTTGCATGGATGTCTTCTTCACATGATACCATTTTCTCACAGGCTGGAAATGAGCTAAAATACCTGAAAATATGTTTGTTATTACAGCAGAGGAACTTGGCTTTTCCTTGCACATTTTTTTTATCCTCACTGGAGGACATTTTTGCATTTATCTTCAGATAGAGCAGGAGGGAGGGAGGGAGGAAGAGTGAGAGAGACAGAAAGAGAGAGAGAGAGAGAGAGAGAGAGAGAGAGAGAGAGAGAGAGAGAAACATCAATGAGAGAGAGACAAATCAACTGGTTGCCACCCACAGGACCTCAACCAGGGCAGGGAACAAACTGCAACCGAGTGCATGCCCTCAGCAGGAACCAACCCAGGTTCCTCTGGTCCACGGGCTGATGCTCTAACCGCTGAGCCAAACTGGCCAGGGCTCCTTGCACATTTTTAAAAATAGGCTGCTTGAAGTTAGCACTCATTTATGTAATGTATTTTTGTTAAAGACATTAAGGAACACTAACTCAAAGTTCTGTTTCATGGAGTTTATATTCTAGTAGAAAAGTTATGCTGCAATGGCTTTGGGAAAAAAATCCTGGCCTCTTAAATAACAGTTGAGGTTTTAATACTGAATCCGCACATCAAGTTTACATGTAATCACATTGTCAGGGTTGCAGAAGAAATAAATACATGTAATTAGTTATGTGTTATTCCTCCAAAATATAAAATTATTTATGTGCCAGGCACTGGTCTAAAGGTTGAGTATACAGCTGTAAATCAGACAAGGTCTCTTCCTGTGTTTTTCATTCAACAAATATTTTATTGACAGTTTTTATTTATTTATTTATTTGTTTGTTTATTGTCTTTTTGTTCAGATAGAGTGTGAAGGAGAGAAAGGAAGAGAGAGAGAGCGAAAGAGAGAGAAACATCGACGTGAAAAGGACACATCGAGTGGCTGCCTCCCGCACCACCCAACGAGGGCTGGGGACAAACTGCAACCGAGGTACATGCCCTTAACGGGAACTGAACCTGGGTCTCTCTGGACCGCAGGCCGACGCTCCAACTGCTGAGCCAAACCGGCCAGGGCTCAACAAATATTTTATTGACCACCAATGATGTGCCAGTCACTGTAGTATTAATGAGCCACTTTATAAATGACTCA